AAAAAAAAAAAAAAAAATCGAGTTGGGGCGTTTTGTTTTTGCGTTAAAAATAGTAAAATTGCAGGAAATCGTAAATGGTGATATTCTGGGCCTTTGAATTGCTTCTCGAATGGGTTGACAGGATTCTGAACTCCTAGGAAAGAATTTATTTGCTCAATTAGTCCTTCACTTCATTTCAAAACAGTTAACGTTACTTTTTCATTGATCTTGCCTTTCCTGTGTTAAGAAAATAATGATCAACTGGACTCAGAGAATTTGAGTTTCGGAGGCTTGAGAGGAATATCCTTCTAGTTAAAGAGGTTTTTAATGCATTTTTTTCCAAGAAAATTCTGACGGGGACTTGAGAAAATTCAACCCCTGGAGGTTCGAGTTATCAAAGTTCAACTGTATTTTATCTCTATTTTCGATGCGTAAAATTGAAATGAATAAAATTTGTTTCGTCTGTGTAACGTGAGATGCAGTTGGTGTTGAACACAGTTGATAGCATCTGTGGATGCATTTTTGGTATTTTGTCCCGAGCAAGAGAGTTACAATTATTTCTTGTTTCTTCGCAGGTTGCTGCGAAGGGTCTGCTTCCGTTGATGGACGACATCTTGAACAACGCGATTTCGAACGATCTTGACGTGACAGAGCGTGTGGAGAAGACGAGAGTGATGCAGATCTTTTTGGCTGCAGTCTGTGCACCGGGTGTTGCCGCCAAGGAACCAGAGATTTTGTCGCTGTTCAAGCGAGGCATTTCGACGAAAGGTGTCAAATGCCGCATAAACGCGGGATCTGCAGTATCCTCTCAAGACTTATTTATGGACGCCGTAAGTTGAGAAATTGGTTGTTTTGAAAAGTTTACTTCAACTCCCTATTTTACGTCACTACAGTATTAAACATGCTGTGTGTGTAGGAATAGCAGTGGCTTATTGAGATAGACAAAAATGGTTCCTGGAGAACAGGTTTCAAACGGAAAATGACCCTAAAAAAAAATTCCCCGGGGGGGGGTAGATAGGTCAACGGGGCCCATGGGGGAGGAAGTGATGGTTATTCTTGCTTGATATGTGTTTTGAAAGCTTGTATTTATATACAGTATTTACAGCAGGAAGAAGCGCCATTGTAGACTGATGAGCGTTAATTAAAAAACATTTATTTATGCAATTTTCAGATATTTAAGAACAACACTGTAGCAGAAACATAGTATTCTAGTATATATTTTCAAGGAATGCAATATTTATAACCAATATTTCTAAGGAATACAATATACAGTATCCATAAGTGTTAGACTTGTCCAGTCTCTGTGCATCAACTGACCATCACACTCTCACCTTTTGGTCCCGCTTACCTCTGATAATTCTTTGTTGTTGTTTCGGGTACATTTTATTCCCCGTTCCTCGGACTACTTCTCCCGGTACCCTTTTTGTTGGGGACTTATCCTCTGGGAGCAACAAAAATTGGGCGCCACTCGACTAGGCGGTCGTCTCAGCTCTATTCGTTCCAAAGGAAGATCAAGTTGTCATTTGATTTTCCTCAAGAGTGATTCCAATAACGAACGAAGCACTGTATTTATAAAATTTATTACTTTGAAAGCATTCATTGATATACATCGACGTTTTTCACCGCATAATCAACGTTTTTCATCTCATAATCGTTGAGTTAATGCCAGTGCTTGTAATTTATAGATTTCGAAGGAATTCTTTTGCGCATTATCATCGCAACAACAAGAAGAAATACTCGAGGAACTGGTATCCGCGTGGGACACCATGTCTGCCCCGAGGACATGGAAGCGTGGCCGGAATGCCTTGGAACGCATTCTGTCCGATGGAAAGCTCGCTTCCAAATTCTTGGCCATGCCTGTTCACGATGGATCGAAAATCAAATGGGATCGTGACACGAGGTGACTTGAGTCGTCTTGAATACAGTACAGTACAGTATTTCCTTCTGCGGGGTTGCCGAGAAAATCCTGGGTTGATTTTCAAACAAGAATAATGTATTTAAATAATTTTCAAAAGCTGTGCCATGACTTGAACTTATGACAACATTTTAAAATTTGCTATCCTTTTTAATTTTAAATGGAATTTTATGATTGCCATGGCATTTTTATGGCCCTTTTGAAAGAGTAATCGCCGAAAACAGAATTCAAACCACAAAGTATCAAAAGTGACGAGCGATGGATGGCTAAATTTTAAGTCAGGAGAAATGGAAACTAGACATCGAAAACATTAAAATGATACAGTATTTTTGTTTCATGTTATCATCATCTTGACCATTTT